CATAATTGAATCCCGTACATCCCAATACCCCTGGAATGCTGTGTTTCAGCGGTTCCTGTGCCTCCACTGACATTTCATCTAACCATCAGTGGCCACAAACGATCTGCATCAAGCCTCTGACCTCTCCCAGCCATAGGAGTAACAAAGCAAACAAAGGAGTAGCCACCTCAAACTCTGAAATCGACGCGCGAGTCATGCACGCATCAAAGATTAAGAAGCTTTTTTCTCTCTTTCTAACCAGACTTGAGGATGCACATAAATTTACATGTGGATAGTAGAATATGTAAATAGTGTGTCAGAATATTTCCGTGATTTACTGGTGGCTATATTGTCTATATAGTGCAAATGGAGTCGAACACTGGCAAGGTGTCCAAACGGAGTTACAACCCGATATGGAAGGTGCCCAATGGGCACGTGCTGTTGATAGTGTGTCCGATAAGAAGATCGGACTAGGTTCATTCCAAGCCACCGTTCTGACGATGCCGTGCCGTGCCGGGACACCAAACAGATCAAACATCAAACCAAACACGTGCAACACGGCCTTCGTCATGCCGAAATCAAGAGGTGCTTGATCGGCAGATCTTGTCCTCTGATGTGGCCACGCGAGCAAGAGATTTGTAATATCCGATCATCTCGCGCCGATTCGGCATCGGTCGGCTTCTCAGCATGCCAACAGAAAACCGAAATTCAGCGCACACTCAGAGTCTGAACACTCGATTTAAAAACCTCTTTCTTAGGTCGCAAAATATATGATTAGTGCATTTACAAATATTATGTGAATACATCTGTCCCGGAAGTGGTGCATGGCTCGGAAATCTTGCTCGGGACTTTGAAACCTACCACCAAGACGCAACGACCACTGTGCCGGAGTGGAAATTTGAGGACGCAACTAATACGCAGGGTGGGGTAGTAGGATACTGAGGGACACTCCTGTCCACCAACCAGTGCATCAGAGTGCTCTGCCCCGGTGATGGCGGCTGGTTGGCGGATGTTTGCTAGCACCAAACACCCTTCCTTATTTGGGGGGGGGTCGTGGGAGCGTTGGACAAGATCTGCCGATCAAGCACCTCTTGGCCGAAATCGTGGGGGTTGAAGATTGCCTGCTAACGTCGAAGCATGGCCATATTTGGTTAGGGTCAAAGTATAAAAGTCCTAGCAATTCAACATAGCTTCAATATAGCTCCATAGTTTCCACCAAAATATGTAGAATTGACCAAGTTATGGGGGTGTTAAGGAGAGCCAAAACACGATTCTTTTGGAAGGGCTGAAAAATATTTATTTTTCATCGCGTCCTCGGGGGATTTGGTTTGAGGATGCTAACGGAGTTCTCGAATGGTGAAGTGATCGGTGGACAGGAACTCGGGCAAATCCGTGAAGAGCTCAACGCGCTCCTCATGGACGTTCTCGCTGCAGGAAAGGCAACGTCACGCCTCGCTCTGCTCGGACACCAAGTGCGCGGGGCGCTTGTGTACATGCTAGAGCACCGGTTCCCGTACCTCTCGCTATGCATGGACAACTGGAAGGCGCACCGTGTTATTGCCGGGCGCTATCGATTTTGGGTCAAACCTCTCATCTCGAAGGGTCTCATTCGGAACGATGGCGGCTCCGACTCAGGTGGCGACGACAACGACAACGACAACGCGACGTCGGGATCCAAGCGAAAGGGCTCGGTACGCTCTAAAGCGCCCAAGCACTAGCGTGTTCTCCCAGGTGCGTGATTTCTCTTGTGTCCTTTGCTTGAAAGCTGACGTCTGCTGCAGATCCTGCTACCAATCCTTCTCTCCTTCGTCTGTCTACCACGCACGACAACCCGCCGGCAGATCCTCCGCAAGAACCCCTTGCGCCCGAGCAGCCTGAGACTACCCAGCTGCATGGTACACCACCCTCCGGTCTCGATTCTGGCCCACCCGGATCACCAGCGCGCACGCCCCCAACTGTCAACGAGCCCGATGATGATCTCTTGTAAGTCTTTTAGCCCAACGCTAGCCTAACTCATGTATTTCCAGTACCAGTGTTCTTGTCCCACCGCCACTGCCAACGCCATCGCCGCCACCGTCCTCCACACCTGCCGTGGTGACAACTACCACACCTCCCGTTACGGAACCCGCAGCGTCGGTCGCTTCAAAGAAGGCATGCAAGCCTAACCCAATCCATTTCACTCCACGGTACGTGCCCTATAATCCGTGGTTGTTGCGCTGTGCATCATTTTACATAGGAATCTTTACATGGCTGTATATGCCGATGAGGTGGGCGGGTCCTCTAACGAATTTACCCAGCACTGGCTGAGTTTGGCGACCGAGAACCCGGGTCTGCTTCAGGTACGTTGTTTGCTCTCCACATCCCCGCAACCGTATCTTAATTCGTGCTACATAGGCCTACGAGACGTACTCAAAAGAATTGGTAATGTACTCCTTACTGTCGTCTGAGCTGTGCCTCATATGCATCTACCGAAGCTTCAAAAGCTCCCGCACATACCTGCGGTTCAAGATATTCGACAGCGCATCCAAGCTCTTCTCCAAAGTCCCACTCCGTAGGCGGTCGGTGCCCGGTGGCAGTGCGCAACAGTTGGGGGGATGATTTTGTATCGTAATAGTTATTTTAATACATCTCTTTTTTTCTCGTTTGATTCCGAGATCGTGGCTTGGGATATGTTAAGAACTGAGATGGATTGAGGGACGAGATATTCAATACATCCCATATCGTCCCAATCCATTCCGTGTGCACATGACAGCCAAGCGTGATGCAGGAGTGATCAAATGAGAAGGAATTACACATTACTCGACCGATCTCAATGCATCTCGCCAAGTAACCAAAATTAGTGCCATTTTCGAGATAATATGAGCTTATATGAGAACTTCTGTCTATACCGCATTTTTTCACTCTGCATCTCATTTGATCCCGCCGACTTCTGACTGGGCATTATCCATGTATGAGTGCCTTTTGTTTTGGTTTTCTTATGGTTCCTCCCTCAAATGCTTAATGTGCGCCAAGGCAAATCAAGTGTGGTTGTGTGGTAAAGAAGTAAAAGGACGACCAATGTCCAACAAATGAGGATTGAATATTGATCTTGATTTTGTGGGTGAGAATCATTGGGCTCTTAGAAATAGCTGTTCTCTTGTGTCTCAGTTCTTGCCATTCAGGCAATAGTATATTTGAGTACCAATATAAGCAGAGAACAACTTGATAGCAGATGGTCTGCACCTCTGTACTGTCGTGAATGAGGTTCCTGATTGCCAGGGGGAAGCCGGTTCAATTCCGGGTCAAGTCATGCGTAGTCTAATTCCAAACCTTTTGGTTCTCACTTCTTCAACTCTTGCCCATCGCCCAATTACTTATTTGATGTTGCGCAATATAAACTTTTGCTGTCAAGGATATAGTGCCATTCACACCGGAGATTACCAAGTTTCAGACCATTCAAAGCGTAATTCTAAATATAAAGTTTCGAGTTAAATTTCGAGCGAGCCCAAACTTGAGCTGATTAGTATAGTTTAAGTCCCTCCGAAATTTCATCTTAAACTAATAGAATAAGTTTACTGCTCAGTTAACCCAAAATGTATTCCGAAACTCTGAGTTTCGGATTACAACTCAGCTCGACCGAAACTAATGACCGAAACTAAAGGATTCGGTACTGATAACAGCTGAACCGAAACTTAAGATATCGGCTGAGCTGAAATCAGAGCCTGAAATGTTAAGTTTCGGAATTGATTTCAGCTTGTCCGAAATGTTAAGTTTCGGCTTTGATTTCAGCTCAAGCTGAAATTGAAACCGAAACTAATTGTTTCAGTTGCACTGAAATTTGGTTGGCGGATTATCTGCAGACCATCTGCCGCTCATCCACAGACCATCTGCAGACCATCTTCCGCTAATCCGTAGAGCATCCGCTCCTCATCCGCAGAGCATCCGTTCCACGTCCGCACCTTCACTGGCTGTTCCTTTCTGTCTGAGCAACTTCTCTCAGTTTCCTTTGAGGCAACGGAAGTCCGTTTATGAAGGTGCATTTATTAATTCCTCCATTTGATTCTAGCCATCTCATGAATCCGCCCAACAGAGTATGAAAAGATTGTTCCACCTCAATTTACTGGGTCTTGTATGTGCATAGAAGATTGCAATATATTAACTTGAATCTACAAACCAGAGCTGAGCAAGCAGAATGCCAGTCCAGTAAGTATGTGTACTTTTCCTGAGTTCCCTGCAGCGCAAGTCCACCATGGGGATTCTCTTTCTAATGAAGTTTCGCTGTCCCTTTTCGAACTTCGAGCACTTCTTTGGACCCCCTACCTGCTCGAGAACTGGCACCCGGCTGACCATCTTTAATAAAGGAGCGGATGGTCTACGGATGAGGAGCGGATGGTCTGCGGATGAGCCGCGAATGAGCAGCGGATGATCCGTGGATGAGAGGCAGATGGTCCGCAGATGAGTGGCGAATGGTCTGCGGATGAGTGGCGGATGGTCTGCGGATCATCCACTGACCAAATTTCAGCGCAGCCGAAACGATTAGTTTCAGTTTAGATTTCAGCTTGAGCTGAAATCAAAGCCAAAACTTAATGTCTCGGACAAGCTGAAATCAATTCCGAAACTTAACATTTCGGGCTCTGATTTCAGCTCAGCCGATATCTTAAGTTTCAGGTCAGCTGTTATCAATACCGAAACTAAAGGTTTTGGTTATTAGTTTCGGTCAAGCTGAATTGTAATCCGAAACTCAGAGTTTCGGAATACATTTCGAGTTAACTGAGTAGTGAACTGATTCTATTAGTTTAAGATGAAATTTCAGATGGACTTAAACTATACTAATCAGCTCAAGTTTGGGCTTGCTCGAAATTTAACCCGAAACTTTATATTTAGAATTACGCTTCGAACCGTCTGAAACTTGGTAATCTCCGGTGTGATTTGGTTGAATCAGATGTGCGTGGGTGTGGGAGTAATTTGGTTCTTACTCTCTTTTCTGTCAGTTGTTGCAATTTAGGCAGTAATATATTCAGGTACCAAGCTGGGCACATAATGACTTGATAGCAGATGGTCTGCACCAGCTTTGTATTCCGGCATTCCAATATAATTATACTGCTGGTAGGCAGCCGGTTCGATTCCGGTTCGAGTCATGGGGCAGGAAAGATCTTCTGTTTTTCTTTTTTCAATTCTGGCCCATGAAGCAATATTCGAAGATTCAGAACATGAACTTTGATCCGTTTGCATAGTGCCATTTCATTCTGACTTGGATTTTGAGTGTGTGAATAATTTGTCCCCAGGTGAGGTGATATATTAGAGTATCTACCTGCACAGAGAAAGACTTGATAGCAGATGGTCTGCACCTCTGTACTATATTCAGCTATTCAGACGCCTAAGCTACTAGGGGGAAGCCGGTTCAATTCCGGGTCAAGTCATGGGTGGACAGAATTTTTTGGTTCTCACTTCTTCATCTCAGGCCTATCAACCAATATTTATTTGATGTTGTGCAATATAACTTTTGTCATCCATTTGCACAAGTATATAGTGTAATGCCCTTTGATTGAATCAGATATGTGGGTGTCTGTGTAATTTGGCTCTTACTCTCTTATCTGTCAGTGGTTGCAATTCAGGCAATGTTATATTGGAGTACCAACCTGAGCACAGAACTTGATAGCAGATGGTCTGCACCAGCTTTGTATCCCGGCATTCCAATACAATTATACTGCTGGTAGGCAGCCGGTTCGATTCCGGGTCGAGTCATGGGGCAGGAAAGATCTTCTGTTTTTCTTTTTTCAATTCTGGCCCATGAAGCAATATTCGAAGATTCAGAACATGAAATTCAATCTGCTTGCATAGTGCCATTTCATTCTGACTTGGATTTTGAGTGTGTGAATAATTTGGCTCTTATAATTTGTTCTTAGGTGAGGTGATATATTTGAGTACCTACCTGCACAGAGAAAGACTTGATAGCAGGTGGTCTGCACCTCTGTACTATAATCAGCTATTCAGACGCCTAAGCTACTAGGGGAAGCTGGTTCAATTCCGGGTCAAGTCATGGGTGGACAGAATTTTTTGGTTCTCACTTCTTCATCTCAGGCCTATCAACCAATACTTATTTGAAGTTGCGCAATATAACTTTTGTCGTCCATTTGCACAAGTATATAGTCCCATGTGGTTAAATCAAATGTGCGTGGGCAGGTGAGTAATTTGGCTCTTACTCTCTTTTCTGTCAGTTGCTGCAATTTAGGCAATAATGTATTCAAGTACCAAGCTGAGCACAGAATGACTTGATAGCAGATGGTCTGCACCAGCTTTGCATACACATTGCATCGTGAACAATTATACTACTGGCAGGCAGCTGGTTCGATTCCGGGTCGAGTCATAGGGCAACAATGTCTTGTTTTTTGTTCTTCAATTCTGGCCCATGAAGCAATATTCAAAGATCCAGAACATAATCTTTGACTCGTTTGCATAGTCTAGGGCCATTTCGTTCTGACTTGGATTCTGTCTGTGTGAATAATTTGGCTCTTATAATTTGTCCCCAGGTGAGGTGATATATTTGAGTACCTACCTGAGCAGAGAACGACTTGATAGCAGATGGTCTGCACCTCTGTACTGTCACAAGAGTAGAAGTCTGCCAGGGGGAAGCCGGTTCAATTCCGGGTCAAGTCATGGGCAGTCACCTGCAGAACTTTTTGGTTCTCACTTCTTCATCTCAGGCCCATCAACCAATACTTATTTGAAGTTGCGCAATATAAATTTTCATCTCGTTCATTTGCACAAGTATATAGTGCCATTTGGTTGAATCAGATGTGCGGGGTGTGTGAGTAATTTGGCTCTTACTCCCTTCTCTGTCAGTCGTTGCAATTTAGGCAATGATATATTCAAGTACCAACCTGAGCACAGAATGACTTGATAGCAGATGGTCTGCATCAGCTTTGTATACGCGCGATTTCGTATTACTGGCAGGCAGCCGGTTCGATTCCGGGTCGAGTCATGGGACAGCAAATATCGTCGGTTTTTTGTTCTTCAATTCTGGCCCATGAAGCAATATTCGAAGATCCAGAACATAAACTTTGACTTGTTTGTATAGTGCCATTTCGTTCTGACTTGGGATTTTGTGTGTGTGAATAATTTGGCTCTTATAATTTGTTCTCAGGCAAGGTAATATATTTGAGTACCTACCTGAGCAGAGAACGACTTGATAGCAGATGGTCTGCACCTCTGTACTGTCATGGAATAGTCCGACTGCCAGCGGGAAGCCAGTTCAATTCCGGGTCAAGTCATGGGCAGTCACCTGCAGAACTTTTTGGTTCTCACTTCTTCAGCTCTCGTCCATCAACCAATTACTTATTTGAAGTTGTGCAATATAACTTTTGTCGTCCATTTGCACAAGTATATAGTGTAGTGCCCTTTGGTTGAATTAGATGTGCATGGGTGTGTGATGTCGCGCACGCTTACGCGCTGTGCACGAAGCGGTGTCAATGGGTGAAAATCCCGAGCATTGACACAATCTTTCAACTTATGTTCCATTACTTATTCCTTTCACTCTCACAGTTCACCCCCTATTCCTGCCACTCCAGACATCGCATCTGATGCGCCCTGCACATCACAACTGCACATGGCACTTCACAAGCAGCTGATACCCTTGGATGTGTGCACCTTCTTATCTTATTTATTATTTCAAAGATCTCCTTGTTTCACCCACCTCCCTCACTACCTAATTTCATATTCACCTGCCATAGTTGTTCCAGATGAAACACTCTCCTTGATATTGCCATGCCTACCTACAGTATATAAGAGTAGTTAGTGCATTCTCCAATTCACTTTCCTGTTTGCCCCAGAGTGCACATTTAAGTCAAATATATTCGCTTCTGCCATACTTCACTCTCGCCTCCGTGCCCCTCGTCGTCCACGCGTACCTCCGGTCCTTCGTCGTCCTTGTCCACTCGCCCTCAGTCCGTTTAGCCGCTGGTAGCCAGTCACGGCACCGGGACTTTATTGGAACACTTGCACTTATTTGTTCCTGCTTTCTTGTCTTGTGCACGCACACCTAGTTTTGGTGTATTGCTCGCGCTTGTACGGTTAGCAGGCACGTCATTTTGGAGCCCACCGCGAGGGTTTCAAGATAGCTTCTGGTTCCTCTCGTAACCTGCGGCTTAACTCGGACGCTGCCCAGCGCCAAAACCTACGTCACGAATTTATCACCGCATTCCAAAACCCTTCCAACCTCCTCGACACTACCCCATATATTCCCTCCGACGAGCTCTTTGATCTCGTCCCTGCCCATTTAGCCCAACACAACAATCTCTCCCCGCATTCACCGAGCTCTCCATCGCTCACTTGGTTATTCAACAACCCACCATCCCCATTGACATTATCACCACCCACATTTATACCACCAATGTCTGCAACAGCTGCAGTCCCCATGCCCGCCCGCGGTGACCGTAACGCGCCACAATTCGACTCGCGTAAACCGCACGAGTTGCGCCGTTACTTCTCCGACCTCGAATTTTTATTCGACCGCTCCTCGGTTAACGATGATACCGAGAAAAAGAAGCATGCAACTCGCTTCTTGTCTGTTGAAGACCAGGAAGTTTAGGAAGCTTTGCCCAGCTTCTCAGACGCGACCAAAACCTATGCCGATTTTAAGGCCGCAGTGCTCAAGATCCACGCCGGGAATGACGAGGAGCGCCGCTTCGGCACTCGTGACCTGGATGTGCTCATCGCAGAGTATGCGCGTGTTGGGATTCTTACTCTTGAGGACCTCACATCCTTTTATCGCAAATTCCTTCGTATCACTACCTATCTTGTGTCAAAGAAGCGCCTCTCTGAAGAAGATCAGAGCCGTGCTTTCCTTCGTGCACTTCAGCCTGCCGCCTTCAACCGCGAGGTTACGCTCCGCCTCCATATCAAGCACCCAGACGTCCACCCTGATGATCCATATCAGCTTGCGGACCTGTATTCAGCCGCTGAGTTTGTGCTCTCATCCCCCAGCGGTACCTTTAACCTCCATGGTGTACCTGCACCCCGTCCGGCTCCTGTCCCACCGACTTCTCTGCCAAATACGATGGAAGTCAAGCCAGACCCGAATATTGCGGCTCTGGTCGGCACCATGACCGAGTTCATGAAAATCCTGGCAGCACAACAGACTTCAGGAGGTTCCAAGTCCGGTGGAGATGCACCGAAGAAAGGCTGCGCATATTGCGGTGACTTCAGCCACTTCATCAACGAATGTGAACGGGTTCTTGAAGACATGCAAAGCGGAAAATGCAAGCGCAATGCCGAAGGTCGAGTAGTGCTCCCTTCTGGTTCATTTGTCCCCCGCATTATCACTGGCAAGGACCTTCGCACTCGTATCGAGAAGTGGCATGAGCAAAACCCAGGCCAGCTTGCTGCTGCACAAATGCTTGTTGGTGTTGCAGTTGATCACCTATCGACTCCGATCTCGTATCCCGCATCCACTGTCCGTACTTATTCTCTCACCGAAGATCAGAGGCTCGAGATGCTGCAACAAGAAATAAATGTGATTCGCACTCGTGCTCAAGCCAGGGCTGCTCTAGCAAGCCGGGAACAAGACGAGCCAGAGCACACTATTCCTCCGAAGACGACTGCACCCACGCCTGCTCCTGCTGCACCGGTTCCACCGGTAGCGCCCACTGCCGCCACACCTGCAGCAGCATCAGCTTCCGTCCCGCCTGTGGCGAAACCTCCTCAACACCCTTTTTCGAACGCACGCGATGCAGCATATGCGCCTCCTAAAGACCGTAATGTTGGACTTCCACCTGCAGCCCAGTCGAACGGCTCGGGCCAGCGTATCGAACTTCGGTGCCCATTTACAACCCGAAGGATGCCAACGATGTGTTTGAATCTTGCTTGAATGCACCGGTCACTTTGACCCAGCGTCAGATATTCTCCATTGCACCAGATGTTCGGTCCCAGTTGAGGAATGCAACCACCCCTCGCCGAGCACCATCCAAGGACGACAAGAATCCGGCATCTCAGCTGTTCCATGATGTTGCATCACCCCTTCCATATCCATATCATGAATCGGTGCATCCAGACTCTTCAATCGACCACAACATTTCAGCAGCCACATTCAGCAACTTTGAATTACCGGCAGATGCTATTGTGATTCCCGACCCTTTTGCAG